CCACCCCACCCCCACCTCTGCTAGCCTTAGCCAATGAGGAGGAAATGAAGGGCGACACATTCGACCACACTTACTCAGGGCCTCCCAGGGTGACAACAAGGGCTGGCCAAAGTCTGTTGGGATCCCTCTCTCCTAGCTGAGGGTTACACTCATTGCTCACACTGATGTCTGGTAGGGCCTGGGACTCCTCCCTCTGCTGTCCTGAGCCCAGCTCCTTCAAAACAAGCCCTCGCCTCCCCGAGACCACCAAGAAGGAAGTGAGAACGCACCATATCTGGCCACTATGCGCCAGGGCCTCCCAGAGCTGAGAAGCAAGGGCAGGGTAGGGCTGGGTATGCCTTCAGTTTTGGGTGGCGGTGTGCCCTCAGTCCTCACTCAGGGTCCTTACTTTAAACCGTGGCAGAGTCTGGGACTCCTCCCTCTGCTGATCTGATGCGGCACCCTTAAGACTGCTGCCTCCTCAGAATGAGGCCCTGACCTCCCTGAGAACCCCTGGACAAAAGGAAGGAGGCACCACATCTTGCCACTCCTGTTAGCTCCTTCCAGTGCCAAAAGCAAGGGCTGGCCCCACCTGTTCTGTGGTGGGGCTAGCCTCAATCCTCCCTCATTGTACTCATCGTTACTCCTGGCAGGGCCTGGGCCACCCCCTGCTGACTGGACGTCACCACCTCAGACCATGACCTCACCTCTCTGAGACATCTCATTCACCCTAGCAGAAAGGGAGGGCATACCATATCCAGCCAGCCCTGCCTGGGTCCTCCCAGGGCTGAGAACAAGAGACAGTCAGTCTCTGTGGGGTCTCTTCTTTCTGGGGGTCGGTGGGGGAGTACCTTTGGTCCTCACCAAGGATCCTTACCTTGACACCTGGTAGAGCTTGGGACTCCTCCCTCTTCTGACCTGATGTGGCTCCCTCAGCTAATCTGCCTTCACACTCAGACCAAGGCCTTCACCTCCCTGAGACACTCAAGACAAAAGTAAAGAGACATCACATCTAGCCACCCCTGCCCGGCATCTCCCAGGGCTGACACAGGGGCTGAACCCCATCTCTTCTGGGATGGGGGTTCCCGCCGTCCTCCCTTAAGGTATTCTTTACTCCTAGCAGGGCCTGAGCTCACCGCCTCTGGTCACCTGAAATCACCCTCTCAGATCAAGGCCTCACCTCCCAGAGACACCTCCACCCACACCATGCAGGAAGCGAGGGCAGACCACATCTGGGCATTTCTGCCCAGATCCTCCCAGGATAGACAGTGGGGACAGGGTGGAGTTTCTGTGAGGCCCCTTCTGTCTGGGTTGCGGGGGTACCCTTAGTCCTCCTTCAAGGTCCTTACCTTATCTTGACTCCTCACAGATCCTGGGACTCCTCCCTCTGCTGATGTCACCAGCTCAGACCAAGGCCTTCACCTCCCTGGGACACTCCAGACAAAAGTAAAAAGACACCAAATCCAGCCACCTCTGCCTGGGGTCTGTTCTGGCATGGGGAATACACTCAGTCCTCCCTCAAGGTATTCATCTGTACTTCTGGCAAAGCCTGGCCCACCCTCTGCTGACCTGGAGTCTCTCCCTCCAGCCAAGACCTCACTTCCCTGCGACACTCCATCCCCTTGACTCCTGGTAGAGCATGTGGCAGAAATGAGAGTTCCTCCCATCTGGCCACCCCTGCTCAGATCCTCCCAGGGCCTTCTGGCCTCACCAAGCGTGCTTAACTCGACTCCCGGCAGAGCCTGCGACTCCTCCCTCTTCTGAACTGATGTGGCTCCCCCTCTGACTGTCGCCTCCTCGGACCAAGGCCCTCACCTCCCCCAGACAAAAGTAAGGAAATGCCACATCTGGCCAGCCTCGCTTGTGGTCTCCTGGGGTTGACAGGAGGGGCAGGGCGGGACTGGGGCCCCCTCTCTCTAGGAGCGGAGTGTCTTCAGGGCAGAATGAGGCCACAGCTACCCGGGGTGGGAGGTCCTCTCAATCCTCCCTCACAGTCCTCTCCTTGATGCCTGGCAGGGCCTGGGACTGTACCTCCTATTAACCTGAGGTCACAGCCCTCAGGAAAAGCCTCACCTCCCTCAGACTCCCGAAGTGGAAGTCAGGAAACACCACGCTTGGCAACCCTGCTGTGTGGCCTCCCAGGGCTGACAGCGGGGACAAGCTTCGGCGAGACCCCTCTCTATGGGGCGACAGGTCCCCTGAACCCGCCCTCAGAGTCCTCATCTTGACATCTGGCAGCGTGCGGTGCTCCTCCCTCTGCTGAACTCAGGCCACCCCCCTCAGACCCAAGTCCTCACCTCCCCGACACCCCCTCCCCAGAAGAAGGTGAGGGGGCCGCATGCAGTCACCACGCCCCGTCCTCCCCTGTTGACAGCAAGGGCAGAGAAGCTCTGGGCCCCATCGGCTCCGGGGCAGCG